TTTGTAAGAAACGACGCGGTTCGACGCCCTCTACAGTCACTTTACGAAGGACCAGTTAAAGTGGCTTCTCGAACACCGAAGTTCTTCACCATTGAACGCCGAGGACAGCGGGAAAACATCTCCATGGATTACCTAATACCAGCACACTGTGACGCTGCCCCAGACATCCCTCCAGAGACACATCCGCCGACGACGCCGTACACTTTTCGACCATAGTTACCAACAGCACCGCCACCTACGACAACGGACGATCCTGTACGACCTCCCACCCTACGACCCCCAGTTACCAGCTGCACCACCACCACCACCTACGACAACGGACAATCCTGTGCGATCTCCCACCCTACAACCCCAGGTACCAGCTGCACCACCACCACCTACGACGACGGACGACCCTGTACGACCTCCCACCCTACGACCCCAGTTAGATGACATCAGCGAAGAGGAGGAAGTTAACATTGAGGGTTAGACAACGCAATCAGGGCGAACAATTCACCGACCAATCAGGTTCCTTGATCAAGGAACCTGATTCTTCCTTTCATCCCCTGGGAGGGAGTTATATAGGGAGTAGCTTATGCCAATAATATACTAGCTCCAAACTCATTAGGTTAAAGAGAGTAGCACAACTCTCATTAGCACTAATGATGAAGCTCAAACCTTTTTCCTAATTACAGTTAACATTCTTCCAACCTTAGGAGAACGATGAGGTGTGGTCTGATCATATAAGCTTTCGAGAAGTGAGTAATTATCTTACGGGCTATTCATGCCCGTGCCACCTCTTGGATGGCGTAACCTTTTATTTGTTTATTTATTTATATACAAGAAGGTTCATTGAGTTTATGAGAGAACATAGCATTGATATTTTTACATTCTTGTAAAGCCACTAGCACGTATATAGCGTTTCGGGCAGGTCCTTAATCTAACAGATAATTTTAAGTAGGTAATTTCTAGCAAAATTGAAAAATCACACCTCGCTATGGTGTGATAGCGAGTTGGGTGCGCGGAGAGTCGGTGTTGAATGGTGCAGTATTTCTCAAGTGTTTGTTCCAAACCACGCTTCAAAGTAGACTGATATATAATTACTCGATTGATTGATGAAGGTTGTTATATTGTTATATTTATTTATTTATTTATTTATTTATTTATTTATTTATTTATTTATGCATATACAAGAATGTACATAAGGAATGTGAGGATACAATTATGGTAATTACATGTTTTGTTTTATATGTTTATATAAAACAACCATATGTTTTATGGTTGTTATATTGAACGCATATTTTACTGCATTATACTTTTAAATTATCCTCAAATTATGCTACAATGTACCTGTTGATAACTCTCAAATTTTACATTAATGTACGGTCACGGGGGGTGGGCCTGGGCTCTGCTACAACTCAGTCGATAGGGGCTCAAAAGGCCGAATACTCAGCCCCTCCGACTCCCGGGATTCACAAGAGTCTCCTTGGTCACACAGGAGAGGACCAACAATGCCCACCTCCGCAGGTTTTTGCTTCCACCACAAAATGGGGGTGCCACTGATTCACCCTGGAAGCCCTTCAGTCAAACACAGGGAAACTGCTGTTAACAGTTCCGGCCTAGACCCGTAGAGGAGTGAAGGAAGACTCAGGCTTACAACCTCCCTGAGTCTTGCCTGCCAGACAAAAAGGTTGCAGGAAGTCCTTTCCAGCCTGTCTTCTCTATCTTCGTCTTAACAAGGCCGCCAGCTGGGTTATTATCTCTGCACCCCAGCGATGCAGTTCAGTGGGTGTATTATATATTGTTTGTTGCCAGAAGGTTGATACTCCCATAGATCTGCTATTGGACTGTCGGCCCAGGGTACTCTCCCAGGAAGGTCTGTGTGGCTTTACCTCTCTCTAGCCACTACGTTACTAGTTGCCACCATTCAGGCACTGATACTAATCGGATGGCTAAGGGTACACTTTTATATAAGTCCGTGCTGTCTCTACCACTCTCCAGGCAATAAGAACTTCTATAGAGAACGTAGTGTTCCCTAGGTGGTACTATGATAACCTTCGCGTATGTTCATAGAGACATATTATAATGGAGGCACACTTAAACACAATGATAAAATGTGTGAATTTACTGACGCAAATTACATGAACACACATACAATCACAAGTAATACATGAATATGAAAATAAGGATGATAAGTCTGGAGATCGTCAGCCTCTTCTTCCACGACCTCCAACACTCCTTCAACTGGGCAGAAAGACAGCTAGGAGGGCCTCTTCACCACGTCGGCGCCTTTTCTTTACTGTCCTGCCATCCATACACACTGTCCCCTCTGACAGTCCTGGACACAAGCTGCCTTGCAGCCTATTCTACTACTAAAGTATTAATGTCCTATTGCCACATACATAAGTGAATATTGTGGCCTATCTAGCCTACTCACACAAGGGGTAATGGGAGGGAAAATGATCTACCTTACATTCCTGGCTCACGACGCCTGTCCCTCGATGGTGTGAGGTTCCCACGCTTCCTAAGTCGATCCTTGACGATCCAGGAACGTTCCACAGGGCCTCAGGTGTCGTACGTGGAACCTTCGCGTCGTCGCTGTTTCAATCCCTGAGATTCAGCTACCCCAATCCTGGTTCATCGATGGGCACTGAGCTAATCACTATTTTCCCACAAGACGTTGCTCCTTGTCCTAGGAACGGTGTCGTCCTTCCAAAACCCTCAGTGGATGTGACCCAGTCACAGCTAGGCCTGCCCGCCACACCTTTCCAGGCCCTCAACGTCCAGCGTCGCCGCCCAGCGTCGTCGCCGAATATTTTCCAAGTTTGCCACTCTTTTGCTCAATAAACTTGGTTCTTTTTTTGCTTCCCAGAAGCGCGGGGTCTCCAATACATAAGATGGGCTGCGATAGCTAGCTCTAATCCACTAAGAAAGGCTTGTAGAGCCTCAAATCCTTGAGAGCTGACCGAGGTGCGTCCTCTCGCCTTCACGGTCAGGTCAACTCTGACGTTGGCGCCGCCCGGGGCACTCGGTGACGTCATGGCGGGCCCTGATTGGTCGCCCGCGACCTAAGTCGGCCAATCAATGCCTTTCATGCCCGAAACGCTTTGCGTAATAGTGGCTTTAGGCATTGTATGTACTAGCTCTATCTATAAGTCCACCAATCTTTGTTAAAATTTCTTGTATGTATGTACCTTACCTAAATAAACATTTATTTATTTATATATTATTATTTATTTAATCCGCGATCGGCTAGTGTCCCTTCCAAAACGTCATATCTGCAGTAGGGGATAATCTTTCATTTTATATCAGGGCGCCAATTTCCCCTTACTTACAACTTATAATGTAACTTTCTCCCTTAACTGGCAGCCGGTCTGGTCGCCACATATATTAATAGACTCCCTGACCTCAGAGAATCAGTAGGGAGAGCTGATATGGCTCTTAAAGCAGGCAAACGAAAGAAATAGGAGAGAGCACCGTAACACTACTAATCTTTGTCAAATTTTTTTACAATGTACCTTATCATTCCGAAATACATATGTATTATATTTAGGGACCCGGTGGTACAGTCGGGTTGGCTCCCGGCTCATAACCGGTAATTCCGAGTTCGAATCCCGGGCGGAACAAATATGGTTGGGTGCGTTTCCTATACCTGCTGCCCCTATTCACCTAGCAGTAAACAAGCACCCAGGCGTTGGTGCCTGTTGTGGTCATAGTCAGCTTGTTGTGGGGTGGCATCCTGGGGAGAGTCAGTATTAGTCCCTGGAGGAGACCTCGACATTCACGAGAGACATCTCCCGTCACGCAGGGTGCAGTCGCACCTCCACAGATCTCCAGTATCAGCTCTTGATACTGGTAATGGCTCAAAAGGGCCACCATTTACGGGCTATTCATGCCCGTGCCACTTTTTGGGTGGCTTAATCTTCATCAATCAATCTCGACAAAAGCCTGACATGTCCCAAGACACAATTAAGTACTTAATTACGTAAATTACAGTTTCCTGTTAATGATTGAACTAGGTTCGGAGTTCACCCGCGGCGTAGTGGTAAGACACTCGCTTGGTGCTTCGCATGCGATTTGGTCTGGGTTCGTATTCTGGCCGGGGATACATCCTTAACTGTTGCCTCTATTCACCCAGTAGTGAATGGGTACTTGGTTGTTAAACTATTTAGCGGGTCGTATTCCAGGGGAAAATCAAGATTAAAGACCAGCCCGAAACGCTATGCGTCTTGTATTGGCTTTACAAAAATGTAAGAACTCTTGTATATATAAAAAAATAGAAATGAAAATACTACATTTTCTTAATGCTATACACACTTGAAAATTAACAGGACAGCCTTATACATACACAATGAAACTGCGAACAATTGTAACAACCAATATTACAATATTATAATATTGAAACAAGTTGTAGCAACGTTCTAATACGTCATAAAAACATTATAACAAGAGGTAACAACTTTATTATAAGCTGTAACAAGGGAATCATAGGGACCGTTACGTTGTGTGTTTACATGGTTATCGCTTGAGGTCGGTTGTCTTCCTTTTCTGGGTTTGTGAGTGGAATGGTCCGGCGTTCGCCTCCTCGTATATATGAAAACTGGGGCCCCTCGTATATCCGTTTCGGGTTATTCATGCCCGTGCCACCTCTTGGGTGGCCTAATCTTCATCAATCAATCGTATTTCGGAGGCCGCAGTGCTTGACAGTGTCTGCTGCAAGACACACTACCTTTACGCAGACAGTTGCCGTGTGTGAAGGTCTACAGGGCTTTGTCTTTTATTCTACGCGGGAGCGTCTGGACGTTATAGTAACCATAATGGTAACTCTTGTGACGTCGAGGCTCCAAAATCAACCATTGTCGGGAAGTCTGACGTTGTACATCTTCTGATGCAGGTGTGGCATCACTAAACACCTGCAATTGACCATCTGACTTTTCTTTGGCTACCTTCCTCTCAGAATTCATTAGTTATATTACAAATTATTACCACATTATTCGTTTTGACTAAAGGTAAATCGCAACATGGTAAACATGCATAGCGGAACCAACAATAGTTCTCGAGTTCAGAAAAAGCAGGAGAAAGAACGCATCAGCGACAACATGGAAGCAATCCAATACATCCTGAAGACGACCTTCACCGAGGAGGAACTACAGGAGGCCCAGGAGGCCCTGGAGGACCTGCTGACGTTGCTCATGAAGGGTAACGGGCCCGTGAAGATAACAGGCGTCACCTTGCGAGTGTACCGGGCCCTGGTGGAGGCCGGGGTCCTGCTGGACCAGAAGCCTTCCTTGGAGGACACGGAGCTGCTCCACATGGTGAGGCCGTGGCAGGCTTGCGGCCCATTGTCCCAGCCCGTCATAAAGGTGCTGACGGGGGGATTGGTGCAGCTGGAGGCCGTGGCCGACGGCCGGCTCCATGCCACCCTGGGTCAGGTGACCTGCCTCGTCCTGTCCCACGTGTACTACCTCCAGTCTCTCCCCGACAACGCCACGTACGTCGCCATGATCTGCCCAGACTGGCGGGAAAATCCTCCCGCCGAAGGCAAGAAGGTGTTCAGTGAGTGGGTTGTGAGGCAGCAGGCGGCGTGGGAGTGGGCGGGGAGGGAGATGGCGGCCCTGGAGGGGGTGGCCACGCCGGCCATGAGGGTGCTGGCCAGGGGGGTCCAGGTCGGGGCTAAGACCGCAGGACAGTTCCAGGTTGACCTGGGTCACGTGACCTGCCTCGTCCTCTCCCGCGGCTTCTACCTCCATTGCCTCCCTGACAGGGTCACCTACGTCATCAAGGCCGACCCCTCGCAGGGTAGAGTCGACTCTCCTCTCTCTCGCTCTCCCCTCTCCAAAAAGACCGTTGACGCTGAAAAGACTGCCGCCGAAGAGGCCGCACCCGATGTGGCCGCATCCGATGTGGCTGCACCCGATGTGGCCGCATCCGATGTGGCCGCACCCGATGTGGCCGCACCCGATGTGGCCGCATCCGATGTGGCCGCACCCGATGTGGCCGCAGCCGAAGAGACAGCATCCGATGTGGCCGCACCCGATGTGGCCGCATCCGATGTGGCCGCATCCGATGTGGCCGCACCCGATGTAGCCGCAACCGAAGAGGCCGCAGCCGATGTGGCCGCACCCGATGTGGCCTCAACTGAAAAGGTCGCTGCCAAAAAGGCCGCAGCTGCTGCAGAGAAGGCCGATGCCGAAAGGACCGCTGCTTCTACCGTAAAGGCCGAAGTTGAAAGGGCCGCTGCCGAAAAGGCCGCAGCCGAATTGGCCGCTGCTGCAGCTGCTGAAAAGGTCGCTGCCGAAAAGGCCGAAACCGAAAGGGCCGCTGCTGCTGCTGAAAAGGTCGCTGCCAAAAAGGCCGCTGCTGGTGCCGAAAAGGCTGCTGCAGCTGCCGAAAAGGCTGCTGCTGATGCTGCAGAGAAGGCCGCTGCAGAAAAGATCGCTGCCGAAAAAGCCGTTGCCGAAAAGGCTGCAGCCTTTTCGGCAGCCAAAAGAGCCGCTGCTGCGGCTGAAAAGGTCGCTGCTGAAAAAGCCAAAGCAGAAAGGGCCGCTGCTGCTGCTGCTGCTGCCGAAAAAGTTGCTGCCGAAAAGGCGGAAGCCGAAAGAGCCGTAGTCGAAAAGGCCGAAGCCGAAAGGGCCGCTGCTGAAAAGGCCGCTGCTGCTGCCGAAAAGGCCGCTGCTGCTGCCGATAAGGCCACTGCTGTTGCCGAAAAGGCTGCTGCTGCTGCTGAAAAAGCCGCGGCAGAGAAGGCCGCTGCAGAAAAGGTGGCTGTAGAAAAGGCCGCTGCCGAAAAGGCCGCTGCCGAGAGGGCTGCAGCCTTTTCAGCAGCCGAGAGGGCTGCTGCTGCAGAAAAGGTAGCTGCCAAAAAGGCCGCTGCCGAAAGGGCCGATGCTACTCCTACCGAAAAGGTTGCTGCCGAAAAGGCCGAAGCCGAGAGGGCCGCTTCTGTTGCTGAAAAGGTCGCTGCCGAAAAGGCCGCTGCCGCTGCAGAGAAGGCCCCTGCCGAAAAGGGCGAAGCTGAAAGGGCCGCTGCTACTGCTGGCGAAAAGGTCGCTGCCGAAAAGGCCGAAGCCGAAAGGGCCGCTGCCGAAAAGGCCGAAACCGAAAAGGCCGCAGCCGAAACGCTCGCTGCTGCTGCTGAAAAGGTTGCTGCCAAAAAGGCCGCTGCTGCTGCCGAAAAGGTCGCTGCAGAAAAGGCCGCTGCCGAAAATGCCGAAGCCTTTTCGGCAGCCGAAAGGGCCGCTGATGTTGCTGAAAGGGTCGCTGCCGAAAGGGTCGCTGCCGAAAGGGTCGCTGTCGAAAAGGCCGAAGCCGAAAGGGCCGCTGCTGCTGCTGCCGAAAAGGTTGAGGCCGAAAAGGCTGAAGCTGAAAAGGCCGTTTCCGACAAGGCCAAAGCCGAAAGGACAGCTGCCGAAAAGGCCGCTGCTGCTGCTGAAAAGGTTGAAGCCGAAAGAGCCGCTGCTGCTACAGACACGACTACTGCAGACACAGCCCCTGCACACACGGCCCCTGCACACACGGCCCCTACAGACACGGCCCCTGCACACACGGCCCCTGCACACACGGCCCCTGCACACACGGCCCCTGCAGACAATACCGCTGCAGACAATACCGCTGCAGACAGGGCCGCTGCAGACAGGGCAGCTACAGACACGACCGCTCCAGACAGGGCAGCTACAGACACGACCGCTCCAGACAGGACAGCTACAGACACGACCGCTCCAGATAGGGCCGCTGCAGACAGGGCAGCTACAGGCACGACCGCTGCAGACACGGCCACTGCAGACAGGGCCGCTGCAGACAGGGCAGCTACAGGCACGACCGCTCCAGACACGACCGCTGCAGACAGGGCCGCTGCAGACGCGACCGCTGCAGACGCGACCGCTGCTGACAGGGCCGCGGCAGAAAAGGCAGCCGCAGAGAAGGCAGTTGCTGCAGACTGGGCCGCTGTAGAGAAGACTGCTGCAGAAAAGGCAGCCGCAGAGAAGGCAGCCGCTGCAGACTGGGCCGCTGTAGAGAAGGCTGCTGCAGAAAAGGCAGCCGCAGAGAAGGCAGCCGCTGCAGACTGGGCCGCTGTAGAGAAGGCTGCTGCAGAAAAGGCAGCCGCAGAGAAGGCAGCCGCTGCAGACTGGGCCGCTGTAGAGAAGGCTGCTGCAGAAAAGGCAGCAGCAGAGAAGGCAGCCGCTGCAGACTGGGCCGCTGTAGAGAAGGCAGCCGCAGAGAAGGCAGCTGCAGAGAAGGCCGCTGCAGAGAAGGCAGCTGCAGAGAAGGCAGCTGCAGACAGTGCCGCTGCAGACAGTCCCGCTGCAGAGAAGGCAGCCGCAGAGAAGGCAGCCGCAGAGAAGGCAGCCGCAGAGAAGGCAGCCGCAGAGAAGGCCGCCTCAGAGAAGGCCGCCTCAGAGAAGGCCGCCTCAGAGAAGGCCGCCTCAGAGAAGGCCGCTTCAGAGAAGGCCGCTGCAGAGAAGACCGCTTCAGAGAAGGCCGCTGCAGAGAAGGCCGCTGCAGAGAAGGCCGCTGCAGAGAAGGCCGCTTCAGAGAAGGCCGCTGCAGAGAAGGCCGCTTCAGAGAAGGCCGCTTCAGAGAAGGCGGCTTCAGAGAAGTCCGCTTCAGAGAAGGCCGCTTCAGAGAAGGCCGCTGCAGAGAAGGCCGCTGCAGAGAAGGCCGCTTCAGAGAAGGCCGCTTCAGAGAAGGCCGCTTCAGAGAAGGCCGCTGCAGAGAAGGCCGCTGCAGAGAAGGCCGCTGCAGAGAAGGCCGCTGCAGAGAAGGCCGCTGCAGAGAAGGCCGCTGCAGAGAAGGCCGCTGCAGAGAAGTCCGCTGCAGAAAGAGTCAGTGCAGTGCCTACCTCTGAGTGCTCATTTATCGTACGACGCATAGAACGGGTTGACATCCATGTCCGTGTGACGATGAAGAATAACCCACTCTCAGGCGGGCTACCTAGTGAACCACCTAGTGAATGGACCACCTAGTGAGTGGACCACCTAGTGGACCACCTAGTGAACCACCTAGTGAACCACCTAGTGAGTGGACCACCTAGTGAGTGGACCACTTAGTGAGTGGACCACCTAGTGAGTGGACCACCTAGTGAGTGGACCACCTAGTGAGTGGACCACCTAGTGAGTGGACCACCTAGTGAGTGGACCACCTAGTGAGTGGACCACCTAGTGAGTGGACCACCTAGTGAGTGGACCACCTAGTGAGTGGACCACCTAGTGAATGGACCACCTAGTGAGTGGACCACCTAGTGAGTGGACCACCTATAGTGAGTGGACCACCTAGTGAGTGGACCACCTAGTGAGTGGACCACCTAGTGAGTGGACCACCTAGTGGACCCCTCATAAACCAGACCAACCGAGTCTCCACGTTTATTTATTTATTTATATACAAGAGGATACATTGGATTTATGAGAGTACAAAGTATTGATGTTTTTACATTCATGTAAAGCCGCGCGGCCGCTGGAGACAGGGTCGCTGTTTCAGGCAGGGCCTTAATCTAACAGAAATCAAAACTGCATTGTAAGAAAATTTAAAGAAGATTATGAGGTACACTAAAGTAATTTTTGAGGATTATCAACAGGTACATTATAGCATAGTTTGATGATTATTTCAAAGTGTAATGCAGTAAAATATGCGTTCAATAAAACAACCATTATATAAGATGATAGCAGTGAATACAATGGTGAAGTTGTATGGGTTAGGTACATATATATTAGAGAAGTGGGTAGTGGTGACAGCGTGACCGCCATGACTTTGCGCCCTCTTCAGGGCGCAAAGTCACGGTAGGTTGATACGGAGAAGCTGTTACCCAAGCAGCAGGTCCTCCCCTCTCCTCGGCGACGAAAGTCTCCAATGGAAAGGCAAACGCCAATACGATTGGTTCCAGCGCCGTCGCAGGAACTGTGAGCTCCGGAGTTGACCTCGATGTTGGTGAAAGAAGGCACGGGGACTCCGGCCATACCCGGAGATCACCGTGGTCCGGGCCGATGAAGAACCACCCCATCAAAAGGTGGTTCCCTTTTATGATAAAATGGCAAGGGTACAATTACTGATGTAAAGATAAAAAAAATATACAAAATTATTTCAGTGGATTAATGAAATCAAGTTCAAGTATGTTTATTGAGACAAAAAAGAAATACATCTCAAAAGGATAGAGTAGCTTGGGCTATTTCTACCCTCCTCTACTTCAAGTCCCTCAAGGGGCGCACAAATTCAGTGAGTACAAATACACAAATAACATTACAAGAATCCTATTTAACATTGCAGGTTAATATAGTAACCACAGCATATAATTGTTACACTCTTGGGGCACTCTTACTCTTGGGGCAAAATTCTTGTAGCTCCTAAATATATACTGTCTATCATACCATTATCACACATCCAAACAATTTGATGTGGTACACTATTTATTTCCTTATTTCTATAGTTATCAATAATTTGACGCTCTAATACATAATGTTCTAAGGTGTGGGCGTGCGGCACACTACATAATTTACACTCCTTATCTTTTTCACTGACATCAACACCGTATTGCCAGATAAATAAATCTCAGGATAAACAATACCCAAATTTGCTGATGATATAATGATACACACAACTGGGTATGCTGATGATATAATGATACACACCGCTGGGTATGCTAACACGCAGAACACTCTTAACTCTGTATTAGACTCATGTCAGGACCTAGGTTTAATTATCTCAGCAGAGAAAACAAAGATACTAAATCGGCGCCCACCCAGGCAAGGAGGAGCTGTTCGCAAGATGCAACTGTCTGATGGCTCCCAGCTTGACTATGTAAACAGATTCAAATACCTTGGCCTTGAGGTGCCACTGTATGATCCTGTTGTATTCAGACTCTGTCGTCAGTATAAAGAGAGGCTCCGAGCTCTCAAGGCTGTTGCAGGTTATCACTCAGGCTATGGTGCCAATGTCAGAATTATCAAAATGATGTACTTTGCATACATCAGATCTTTAGTGGATTATGCTGCACCTCTGCTTGTTTTGATGCCTGAAAGAAAGCTTGGAGGGCTTGAAAAATTGCAGAACGAAGCCTTGAGGATAATCCTTGGGTGCCCTCGTACCACAAAGATACTTAATATGAGAAAGGAACTTAATATTCTGAGCGTTGTTGATCGTGTTACTGAAATTAACTGTCAAATTGGGCTAAAAATTTAATTACTTAAATAATTAGGTAAATAAAAATAAATAATTAAATAATAGATTGGAGCACCAGGCTTTCAAAAGTAGCACAATTCGCTACTTTTAGCGTAATATTGTGGGTCGGGCTGTAGCTGCCCCTGTCCCAATAACAACAACAAAGTCTAACACTCGAGTAGTCAACGAAAGATCCTTCCTGAGCGCAACTGATCCCTGGATCGTCGTCGCCCCTCAGTCAACACCACCGGAAGGATCTGAGTTATTCCTGAGCAGCTGAGCTCTAGAATACTGTATTGCAACCTGATATAACCTATAACTAGTTACAATGGAAAAGACACTAAACAGCGAAGCAGTATGTATTATTTCATTAGATTGTACAGTATTGAGTTCAGTTTATTATTTACCCGAGTGCCACTAACCTTAGTGACCTCGACGAGGACAGGAAGGCAGCGGCTTGTCGAAGACAAGCTTTGCTGCCTTCAGCTTGCTGCAAGCCCCATTTGCTTTGATGATCTTTTTCCATGTATATTTTAAAATTCAACGCAGTTTTGGCAGTTACGGCTTCGGTGGGTAGCCAGTTCCATGGATTAATAATCCTGTGGGTTAAAAAGCATCTTCTGTTCTCTGTCTTACAGTGTGGCTTGTTGAGCTTGAAACCCTTGCTTCTTGTTCGTGTTATATCTGACCTTTTGGAGAAATTGTCCTGATCAACATCCTTTAATTTATTCAGTATTTTAAAAGTTTCAGTGAGATCCTCCCTGTCATGCCTGGTTTGTAGTGTTGTTAGCCCAGTGGCCTTCAACCTTTCCTGATACAGGAGGTGACTTAGGCTTGGAATGACTTATCTTGCCCAGTGTTGCACCTTCTCCAGATCAGCTATGTCTTTCTGAAGATGTGGTCTCCAGTCTTGGATACAGGAATCCAAATGGGGTGCACCAGGGAATTATACAGTTGACCCATTACCTTCTTTTCCTTATAGTCAAAACTACGCTTGATTATCCCAAGATTTGGTTAGCTTTTCTGACTGCTCCACTCACCTGTTGTGCAACTTTTAATGAGTGGTGGATTTTGACTCCACGGTTCTTAACTTTTTCAATCTGCTGTAATGTAATGCTATTAATTTGGTAGTCATTGCTTGGGTTGTTATGCACCACATCCATGGTCTCGTATATGTCGATATTAAAAATCATTTGCCAGTCTTCTGACCATTTGTGGAGTTCATGTGGATCTCTTTGTAAAGCTTCAATATCATTATCATTTCCCACTTTATCATAAATCTGAGAAGTATAGACCACTGATCCTGAGGTCAGCTGAGTTGGTTAGCTAGAGCCTCAAATGAGGTAAAGAATGCATCTACCTCAGTCTCTACAAAAGGTGGCATTAACTTAGTGGCGTGAGAAACATTGAAACATACTGGGAGTTTAGCTTCGGCTTCTGGTGCTGAGTGACGTGGGCAGTTTCAAGGTCAAGCTCTTGACATCGGAGTTCTAGTGCGGCTGCAGCTTTATCTTGTTCCACACGGAGAGCGATGGCAGCTTGTTGTTGGTCCCTCTCATGTTCACGTTCCAATGCAGCTCGTTGTTCAGCGACTTTGAGTTGAAGTTCAAGTTGTTCCTTCTGGAAGGCAGCTTGCTCCCTCTCACGTTCACGTTGGAATTCAGCTTCTTGTTCTTTTACCTGAAGAGCATCCTTTTGAAGGGTAGCTTGTTCCCTCAGACGTTCACGTTCTATGTTGGCTAGCTCGATCTTCAACTTTATGGCTGCCTGGGCTGTCTTGTTTGCAATTAGATGTTGTTCATATGCCGCCGATGTACAGTACAACCTCAATTCAACGCACTATATGGGACCAACCCCAGTTTGTTGCAGGGGTTTGATTCGTTGCAAGAGGTGACCTTCAAGAGGCGTTTGCGTCAGTGTCTTTTTTTTTTCTTGTAAACAATAAGAATGTATTATCATATTATATACTGTACCTATATATTACTACTCTACTAAAAAATACTGTGTTACAGTTGTTATTGTTGGAGTTATATCCATCTTGAATTCTCATGGAGTTGTGAATGCTGTACAGTAAATACGTACTGTACTGTATTATGCCATTAGCACTGTATTGAGAAGTAGTTCTGCTGTATGTTGAATACTACAATACAGTTTATGAAAAATATTTTTCACTAAAATTACTGTAATACAACCTTAATTTTAACACTATGTACTTGAATTAAACACTTGTTCTAATTGTACACTCCACACACGATGTTCTTAGATGTTTGCATCGGCTTTGCTGGTGCTCGCTGCTACTGTGTTTGCTTCAGCTACTTCTGAGCTAGTGCTGGCTGCCATTGTACTGGTGCTGGGTACGGCTGTGCTCGTGCTGGGTAATTACCTAAGTGTAATTACCTAAGTGTAGTTACAGGATGAGAGCTACGCTCGTGGTGTCCCGTCTTCCCAGCACTCTTTGTCATATAACGCTTTGAAACTACTGACGGTCTTGGCCTCCACCACCTTAAACTACGGCTGTGCTCGTGCTGGGTACGGCTGTGCTGGTTAATTTTCTGTTACTAGTTCTTGCAAAATATTGACTCGTTTTTGGCACTAATAAGGCACTATTAGCAAGCCCCTGAGACATCTTGTTGTATAACAATACAGCTGAAGTAAAAAAATGGTAAATTCCACGATTATTCTTCCACCAGTGGACAAACACGTCATTCTCAGTCAAAGCTAATGGCACTGGATGCCTACTGTATGAATGCAGACTAGGTCTATACACCCTACAGTAGGCTGGTGTTTAAGCCAGATCCAGTAACATAAATTTCTT